TCGAGCCCCGCGTCGGGCTCTGGGCTGATGATGGCCCAGAGCCTGGAGCCTGCTTCCGATTCTGTGTCTCCCTCTCTCTCTGACCCTCCCCCCGTTCATGCTCTGTCTCTCTCTGTCTCAAAAATAAATAAATGTTAAAAAAAATTTTTTTTAAATCCAGTGGAGGAAGTCTTTTATATTGCTTTATTTTTTTAAGTTGTTGTATCCTTTGATTTTGTTTCTCCTTGTGAGTCTGCTGTCTCTTTTTCAACTACCCCAGATAAAATTATTTTATGTTCATATGTCATTTTCTCAAAGATATCCTAAGCACTTTGAGAACTTCCTTAGAATCTAATATCTCTGCCTCTTCTTTTTTTTTAAATGTTTGTTTGTTTTTGAGAGAGAAAGAGAGAGCACAAGCAGGGGAGGAGCAGAGAGACAGAGGGAGACACAGAATCCAAAGCAGGCTCCTGGCTCTGAGCTATCAGCACAGAGGCAGAATCAGGGCTTGAACTCATGAACCATGAGATCATGACCTGAGTGGAAGTTGGACACTCAACTGACTGAGCCACCCAGGTGCCCCTACCCCTGACTCTTCTGCTGCCGTCTTATACTTCACAGTCTAAGGAAAAATATGCACTCAATACATTTATCTTGTGTTACATGAGGCGGGAGGAAGAAGTCGATAATATATGCAAGGTTTTGAAACAAATTTCACAAAAATACAGGCCAACTAGAGGCTATAGGAGTGACTCCCTTCCTGCTATCTCTACCATACAGAACCTTTTGTATAATCGAGTGAAATGTTCGACACTGTCACCTGAATATACTGCTTGCAAACAAATCAGAAGGTAATATTATTCCAATGGCAATCGAATTACTTACATTGCAAGAAGATTCTGGGGTTCCTTTGAATAGCATCTCCTCAAAGGTGTCTTTTATAAACCAATCAATACTTAGCTACCAAAACCCTGTTGCTCCAACTTATTGGGGCGAAGCAGTATTCACAGACAGAAAAAAATAAAGCAAATCTGAAGTGATTGTAATTTTTTAAACTGACATTCAGGGAGCCTCGGTAGCTCAGTCGGTTAGGCATCTGTTGATTTCGGCTCAGGTCATGATCTCGGGGTTCATGAGTTCGAGCCCCATGTCGGGCTCTGTGCTGACAGCCCAGAGCCCGGAACCCGCTTCAGATTCTGTGTGTCCCTCTCTCTCTGCCCCTCCCCTGCTCACGCTCTGTCTCACTTTCTCCCCCAAAAATAAACATAAGCAAATTTGTTTTATTTTACCTGACAAGAAGCCTAAGCCACCATACTTCCCAGTTCAGTCCTGGACACCAGAAACCCATTTTTCCCATTCGTGTTGACTTCTTTCTTAAAAGAGTAACATGGAGAGAATGTGCCGGACCGTGGAAGACCAGTTTAATGAGATCAAGGCCAAGGATGACCAACAGACACAGCTGATCCATGATCTGAACATGCAGAAGGCAAGACTGCAGACCCAAAATGGTAAGGATGGGCAGGGCCCAGGGGTGCAGCCACAGGAGAGGACGGTGTGCAACACTCATGCATCTGTTCGGTAGGGGAGCTGCGCCATCAAGTGGAAGAGAAGGAGTCTCTGATTTCACAGCTGACCAAAGGCAAGCAGGCCCTCACCCAGCAGCTGGAGGAGCTTAAGAGGCAACTGGAAGAAGAAACCAAGGTAAGAATGCCTCTTTCTGGAACAGTCAGAACCTGAGAAGCCACAAAAAATGGTTGGAGGCAGTGTGACCGCAGGAGGTAGAAAGCTTCTCCTCTGCTGCATAGGAACCTACAGGAACCTGTTCTCTGAGATTACAGGACTTTGACCTTGGATCTCCTTCCTCAGAGCCAGGGTGCCCCATCCTCTGGGTTCCTCTGCTCCCCACGAGGTGGTCTGATAAACATGCCTCTCCAGCCAGGGCATCCCCGGCCCCATTCACTGCACCAGCTTGACTTCCTCTACCTCTCTCTGTGTATCCTTTCCCCCTGCTCAGCCATTTATCCTGACCACCCGAAACGCCCTCCTCTTTCTTCCACATCACTCATGTATCACCTGCTACAACACCCGCTCTTAAGCTCTCCTCCTCCAAAAACACCGCATGGCTTTAGGGACACATTTGGGACACGTACATAAATATGCACATCATCATCATGTTCTTGACTTCGATATCGAGATATTTACGTCCATCATGCCCATTCCCTCCCCCGCACTGATCTATAAATGCCTAGGCAAGAATAATTTTTCCCTCGTGGTAAACAGTAGGTACAGTGCGTAGAACAGTGCACACAGCAGGTGCCTAATAAATGCTGCCGATGTGTGTTCAAGCGTTAGAATGGGAGTCCAGGAGTCCACAAAGCTGCATTCAGTGATTTTTGAGGTTGCCATGCACCGGCCAAGATTTACAAGGCAATCTTTCAGAGTTCTGCCGAGCTCCGCATACCCTTAAAAAAAGAACGAGCACTTTTTGTCTGCCATCTTCCTGTCATATGCTAAGGGTCTTCAGCGGGCTGGGGTGGGGGTTGTGGCAAGAAGCAGAGTACGAACAAGCAGCGAGAAGATCCACTATAGGAACGAGGCTGTCCTCAGGCCGGGATACAGTAGCAGCTAAGCTCAGGGAAAGCTTTCCCTAACATTGCATCAAACAAGGAGACAATCATTCCTTTCTCGTTCTGTTTCGATTCTTCTGATTACATAAGGAAAAGATCTCAAGTTGGACACCATCTCTCTAGCAGGTGCTTATTTTCGTTATACAGAGAGGAGGCCTCAGCCACAGAGCCACGGCCGAAAGTACCTAGCTAGAAGGTGATGGATAGATAACTCGGCTTTATCTCCATGGCGTTTATTCTAACGGTTCCCTCCTGTTTATGGCAAATGCTAACGCTTTGCGATTTAATGCAGTGTAAAGGTTTACTTTTGAAATGCACGTATTTAGGGGCGCCTGGGTGGCGCAGTCGGTTAAGCGTCCGACTTCAGCCAGGTCACGATCTCGCGGTCCGGGAGTTCGAGCCCCGCGTCAGGCTCTGGGCTGATGGCTCAGAGCCTGGAGCCTGTTTCCGATTCTGTGTCTCCCTCTCTCTCTGCCCCTCCCTCGTTCATGCTCTGTCTCTCTCTGTCCAAAAATAAATAAACGTTGAAAAAAAAAATTGAAATGCACGTATTTAAATATAATAAGGGAGTCAGCTTTAAAAAAATTTTAAATGAGACGGGATGTATGGAGGTGTGGCAAAGCTTTGTGAAGGCAGCTTGGGAATGGTTCACGTTGGGAAATGCTGGTTTAAAGTGGAAATACCTTAGCTTGGAAGATGGCCAGATAGACGTCTTTGCAGCCTCACCATCATACTGTCGCAGGCCAAGAACGCGCTGGCCCACGCCCTGCAGTCCTCCCGCCACGACTGTGACCTGCTGCGGGAACAGTACGAGGAGGAGCAGGAGGGCAAGGCCGAGCTGCAGAGGGCACTGTCCAAGGCCAACAGCGAGGTGGCCCAGTGGAGGACCAAATACGAGACGGACGCCATCCAGCGCACAGAGGAGCTGGAGGAGGCCAAGTACGGGGTCCCGGGCTACGGCGGGAGAGGTGACCCCAAGACACAAGTGAAGAGACAGAGAATTCTTCCTACCTTGAGAGACTCTCTCTTCCTTCCTCTCCAGACCCTTGAGTTTTCTTAAGCTTTCAGACGGGGCATCCCTGTCCCTCCCCTGGGACTGTCCACTCCACCTTGTTGCTTTGGTGGCTTCTCGCTGGCCTGCTTTGCCACCCAGCACTTAGCAATTCTTCAGGTGATACCTAGACCCTGTCCACTCATGACCTTCCAAGTCTTGGTCTTACCAAGTTCCAGTCCTGAACAGACTGTTCCTCCTCGTCCGGTCTAACAGGTAGTTCTGAAATAGTCCACCTTTGCCAAGTGGGGGGGAAACTCTGGTTCTTTTAGGAAAAAGCTGGCTCAGAGGCTCCAGGAAGCAGAGGAAAACACAGAGGCAGTGAGTGCCAAGTGCGCCTCCTTGGAGAAAACCAAGCAGAGGCTTCAGGGGGAAGTGGATGATATGATGCTGGACTTGGAACGCACCAACACAGCCCGTGCCATCCTGGACAGGAAGCAGAGAGACCTGGATAAGGTCTGCCCCCCGAGAGCCCCGGCTTCTCACGCTGGGATGTGTGAGATGCCCACACATCAGGGAGACCCTCTGAGCAGCAAATCACGGTGTAGGCGGTCGGGATTTACAACGCCTCTCTGCTTTTGTGACTGTCTCTCCAAAGTGAATTTTTAGAGCAAGCTGATTCAGGTTCCCTTGGAGAACCCAAACACCTATAGGAACCCAGCAGATGGCCTGTGGGAATAGCAGAGTCTGGGGCCCGTGATCTAGACCTGTTTCTTGGGGCCCCAGGACAGGAGGGTGAAACCCTGGCATTGCTGACACAAGCTTCCTTGTTTTCATGGGCTCTCCCGGGTCCCCTGGCCCTTTCTGCTGCTTACGTGTCCCTTGGTCATCTCCCAGGTCCTTGCAGAGTGGAAGCAAAAGCTGGACGAGAGTCAGGCTGAGTTGGAAGCCGCTCAGAAAGGATCCAGGTCACTTAGTACTGAAATCTTCAAGATGCAGAATGCCTACGAGGAGGTGGTGGACCAGCTGGAGACACTGAGGCGGGAGAATAAAAACCTGCAAGGTGATGGGGCGCTTGGGAGGCTCAGTCCGTTAAGTGTTCGACTCTTGGTTTCGGCTCAGGTCGTGATCTCACAGTTCGTGGGTTCGAGCCCCGTGTCGGGCTCTGTGCTGACAGCGTGGAGCCTGCTTGGA